AAAAAATAAAAAAACAGCTTCTAAGGAACAGCGAACAAAATAAATAATAATTAATAAAAATAAACAACTAATTAATTTTTTTTACGTATTTTCATTTCAGAAAACTTATCTATGATACCATTTATTTCTAATTTATCTAGAATATCGCTTTCTACGTTTAGAATAGCCAACGATGAAAATTTTTTTCGATTAATGAAATGATACGAAATTAGCCAGAGAATTAGTTGGTTAGTTTACAAACTAGCTAAAGCTTGGCTATTTTGTGTTACTAGAAATTTTGGTTTTCATATTATCCAAATTGAATTGGATAGTATACAAACTATCCAGCTATTTTAGTTTCCCCAATAATTTCAAGTAAATTAGCCAAGATCCTTGGTTATTTTGTAAACTAGCCGCTAATTTAGTTGAAAATACATTTTCAATTAAAATAGCTGACAGTTTGGCTAGTTTATAAACTATCCAGCTAGTTTATAAACTATCCAAGTTTGCACATTAGCCGTAACATATACAAAAATAATATATTAATTAATAATTATAACTTACCTTAAGTTAAATTTCGGAGTTCGGACGATTGCAATTGTAAAAAGAAATTATAAAATTCACAATAATACTTTCGACTAGGACTAGGCGGTAATAAAGATTGCGTTGAGCGGCAGCTTTTTCATTCGTAATTCGTAATTCGTCAGCAAAAGATTTGTCGGTACTTATAGCGGCATAAACAAAAACGCCGTAAAAGAGACCGCCGATGTTTTATGTTTTTGAATCTAACTAAAATTATATAGGTATAATATCAATATCGTTATTATACCAATCTAAGCCACTTTTATTTAATATTTAATTTTCTTTATAAAATAGTTACTTATGGCTTTATTTTAAATTTAAATTGAAATGGTTTATAATTTTTTTTCAAGGGATTTTTCGGGCCCCATTTTCCTCCGGGCCCAAGGCCCGGGCCTTATGGGCCTTTAGGTAAAATAGGCCCTGCTGATGGGTTGATTTAATTGAAGTTAGACTGGTTCGCCTTCAGTAAGTAAGATTCAACAATGATGAAACGTGGGGAATTGCAAGGTAATTTTCTGTAGTTTTTGTTGAGTTGGAAGAATTTTTAGAAGAGTGAAGTATTTTTAAATTGCATCTAGGAAAATGTTAAGTTTATAAATAAACATTTTTGTCTGAATATAACTTCCTAAACATAATAAGATAGGTTTTATAAATTTTATAATTTGTAGGGAATTTGACAGCATTTAGTTTAGTTTAGCAATACATTTTTGACAAAAAATAAACAGGTACATTTTTATAAAAGTTTAGGACTCCTATAATTGATATGAAATCGACATTACGTAATCTTGACATGACATGACAATGAATCTTTAAACCAAGTTGCACAGTATATTGTCATCTATTTGTTTTTTTGATAAATCGACGTTTGAAAATAAGAACATCGTATCTCGATTTGCGGCAAAAAATAGTTAAGATAATAATCTAATATGATACTTTTACAAAAGAAAATAATAACTATTTTTGACGAAAATTAAGATACGATGTTTTTATTGGCAAACGTGTGTTTCAGTTTTTAAAATAAAACACACTGTATATTTTTATACAGGGTGCCCCAAAAGTCAACGATATCCTTTGAAGGACTAATAGGGGAGCTCATGATTTATCAGAATATCAAAACAGGACCTTAGTAAAAAATCATTAGTTTTTAAGATATTTGCATTTTTATGAATTTTGTGAAAGTTGACACATACAATCAGTTTTTCAAGTGCCACATCATTCTATATTCTTAGATTATATTTTATTTTGCGTAACCCTGAATAGGACTGCTATTAATTACAATTAAAAATTAAATTAAATTAATTGTAGCTGTAGCACTCGAAAAACTGATCTAAGGTGTCAAGTTTTACAAAATTCCTAAAAATGACTATATCTCAAAAACTAACGATTTTTTACTAAGGTCATATTTTGATTTTCTGCTTAGTCATAAGTTGGTCTATCAGTCCTACAAAGAATATCGTTGAATTTTGGGACACCCTGTATAATATTTTTAGATTTCTGGTAAAAAAATTTTTCAAAATGCTTAATAGTATCATATACCCAAAAAGTATGTTTACAAAATAGAAACAAATTTCTGCCCAACATATCCCATTAAAATTTTCCCATGTATTTTGACCCACTTAACACGAAAATCACACTCTTTTTTTTTTTACTTTTGATATCGGAAAAGTATTTTGATGGTATCGATTTTGATAACTTTTTCGTTTTTATGGTAAAAATTATGGTCAAAAATTTACATATCGTACTGGGGAAAGGCTTAAATCAAACTCCAGTTTTTTTGTTTTGTATAGCTGACATTTTTACCAAAAAATCCATGGATAAATGGCAAAGTTATAGTTTTAGTGCACAGAGAAAAGTAATCTCTTGATTTTACTGTATTTGGCTTGGCTCAAAAAAATTATTCATTTCAATATCTACAAGAAGATATTTATTTAGTGGAAAACTTGGGTTTATTTGACTTTTTAAACTGATATTTGGTTAATACAAGTAAATATCTAGTTGAATTTTTATCTCAGGTTTAGTAGAAGTTTACTTAAAGAAACAAAACCTACATCCAATTTGGATGATCCAAACAATTTAATTAATTGCTATAAATAAATATTTCTTTACAATTAATCACAACAATAGTAAGTTGTTTTCAGGAAACGTATGATTTACAACCAAATAATAGTATTTTCTTATTGTAAACAACAAGTTACTACGAATAAGAAAATTTTACTTTATACAAGAAAACCTGTTTTAAATAAATGCATTTTCTTAAATCAAGAGATTACTTTTCTCTGTGTGGAAGACCAAAATTCAGCTTTTGAAAATGTTTAGTTTTATTTTGTAATATGTTTATTGTTTAATAAAAACCTAATTAAAGTACATGAGTTTTTTACGTACTTTTTTCACCGAAAACAATATTCATAGTGAGACATGGTGGGCAAAATGGCTGTAAACTAGTGTTATTGCAGGGGACGGGCATGACCTAACTTTCCTAACATGTTAAAAGTCTTTTAAAAATTAAGTCAAAAATTCAAATTCATTACTTTGATGGAAAGGGGGCTTTAGCCACCCCTTGGCTCCGTGCCTGCCTGTGGTTTAAAATTTAAACTTTAAATGTTTTAAAGGTAAATGTATTCAGATTAGGACTATTATAGTATATTATTATATTATATGTACTAAATTTAGTTCAGTATAATACTGAACCAAATTTAGTACATACTCATTAACGAAGCAAATTTTTAAAATTGATTATGTCTATAAGCTTATCCCTCAGAGAACTGCATCTGTAGCATGTGTAATTTTGCTAACACAGACCTAATTTAAAATTTAATTATTAATGCGTTGTTCTAACTATACCTATCCAAAGTACACAACGTGTTATAATAAGGCAAATCCTTAATAAAGTTAGGGAATATACTTGAAAAGTCTTTACTCTTGTAAGTTTTGGATTTGCAGCAGGATGGTACATTATAATTATTTATTTATTAATTATTAAAGGGTTAAGGGATTAGGTACCATTTTTAATAATAAAAGACAAAAGATATTGTGTAATTACAATACCAACCTACAAGGTATACCGGTATTTAAAAGTTAGGAAAACAAAATAATTCAAGATAAAAAGAACTTTTATTTGCTCAAACCTTATAAATTTCCATTTATATTATAAAGATTGCCGAAGTAGTTAATTACCGGTAAAATATTTTATGTCAGCAAAGTGGTTTATATGAGCAAATTAAATTAAATTAAAGTTCTTTCATCTTTAATGATTAAAATCACAAATTTTACTATAATTTAAAGTTATTTTTTGACAATCAAAACAATTTGTCAATAATGACTTTTCTTCTAAAAATCAAAAAAATTAATAAACTCGATGCTGACAAAAAAAATATATCTATTGTTGTAATTTTTGTATTAAGACATTCTTTGCAATGCACATGTAGTGCAGCGTTTCTCAAAATTTTTCGATGGCAAAGCCTCTAAAAAGTCAGATCTAATAAATAAAAGTGGGTGGAAAAATTATTATATTAAAACCTAGCATTGTTTTTATTTTTAGTGTGACAATAATATTTCATATTATTAATTTTAATGCTGTCCATCGCGGAGCTCCTTTGAGAAATGTTGCACTAGTATATACTTACTAATATGTTAAAGTAGATAAAGTGTACGTAAACAATTTTTGTAAGGGTAGCGTCATTTAGAGATTGTTATAAATTGACGGGCATTAAAGTAAGTGGTATGGCCATAAAAAAATAGCTGAAAAATGTCATTTAGAGCCCAGAAAACTTCTACAAAAGGAGTTTAATTTTGGGGGCCAATAATATAATTTTTCTTTGGTAGTAAACAATTTTACGTTGTGGCTGGTATTGCTTGGCCTTGGGGCATATAAGAAATTCTGAGGATGTCTTTGTCTAGGGAGCTCGAGTATACTTAAACTTTCTTATAGGTAACCTATGGTTTTAGTGCATACTTTTCACAGCATTTATCATGAGTATACTGATAAGAAAGGATGTGAAAAGTATTCACTAAAACCATTAAAATATGCATTTATAGGTTTTTTTTCTCGGGTTGTGTTTAAGCGGTGTTGTGTTTATTATTTTACGTTAAATAAGTATCTGGCGCCCCTTGCACAATATCAGAAATTGTCTTACCTTCACTCAATGCCGGACTGATACCAAGTTAGCCTTGCGCAAAACTTTTGCAGTTTTACAATGGCACCTAACGTCAACGTTAACAACTGGTTAAGTAACTATACATTGTGGTTAAAATTATAATTAGTAAACACAATCAACCTTAAAATTGTGTTTCTAGTATACTCTATACAATATTTGTTTGCAAAAACTACTGGTGAAAATGACTTGGTGCCGATGAAGACCCATCTGTAGGTAGCCGATAGCCTGCCGCTTGGAAGGAAGAGGGCTGGGCCCAGGGGCACCGGCATCGGCAGTACCATTTTACCAGCACACGCAAGCACATCAACAAAAATCTAGTAGCTTGGTAGTCAGTTGATCCGTTGCGTAGTAACCGAGTGCTGCACATTGCATTTGCAGTCGTTTGGTCGCGATTATTGACATTTTTCTTTGTTGCGTTTTTAGTTTTGTGATTCTTTAAAATTCTTTCGCGTTTTTGTGGTTTTAAGTGTTTTTTTTCTCTTTGGATTAGTAGTAAATCCTTGGATTTTATCTATTTAAAATTGGTAAGATTCCAATAAATAAAATTTGGATATTTTATTAACATTTAAACATAAAGAAGAATGTACATAGTTTATTTAATGCATAAAATATATTTACTTTATGGCAATTTTAATAGGTATACACTTATATAAAGAGACTTGAATGCTTTTAAGTTCTTAAAAACGAACCTTTTCTTATTCTATAGAAAACTATTTATTGTGCAAGTAAATGCTTAAGAATAAAGTCGGCATTTAAAAAGAAATTTTACAATAGAATGGAGTAACGGGAGTGGGGCATAGCCATTAATTATATTTGTTTTTAAATTTAACGATAAATCTTGGGAGGAGTGCGATATAATTAATATTAATTTAAATGTTGTTTAAATAGTTTAAATTTTACAAATATTATTATAATAAATTAGGAGACCAAACTAGTAAAGTACTAGTACAATGCAGGTCATCAAATTAGACAAAAACTAACATATTAACCAAAAAAATATTAAGATACTCCTTATGCCATTTAGAAGAAATATCTACCCCTTCTTTTTAAAATCATTTTTAAATTTTGGTATCTTATATCTTCGAGAAATCGTTGAATGTTGAAATTTATGATCGAAGCGATTTATCAAATTTTTATCAAAACCAAACATAAATTTTAAGTAAAGATATCTTCAAAAGTAAAAATAATAATAGGTTATACACGAAAATTTATACAAAATGGTATTTCTATTTAAAATCAGACCAGGAATAATAATACTGTTGAATATAAAAATTTTCATGGAAAAATCGTGTTTCCGGTGAATAATTGAGGTATGAAGATAAGGTATATTTTATTGGATAATTTACTTCACATTTATGGAAGCAATCAAAACTCTTATTTGCCTAGTAAACATCCTGGTAACGTGGACTTATCGGTATATTCTGAATAAAAATCAAAATGAGTCGTTTTGGCACGAACAAAACAGAATCATAGTAGAAAGCAAGTAGTATCAACGTACACAGTCTTCTAACATGATCTCGGATCAGTTAAGGTCTTTAATTACCAGACACGATTTCATTCATAAATAGCGTAACCGACTGTAATGCTATCACAGTAGAAAGCGAGTAGTATCAACGCACACGGTCTTCTAACATGATCTCGGATCATCTCGGATCAGTCAAGGTCATTAATTACTAGACACGATTTAATTCATAAATAGCGTAACTGACTGTATTGATATGTATATAATGTGACATAATCGTTCAGTACATTATCCAATAAAATATATCTTTAGAATTGTCGCCTTATATTCATACCTTTGTTGTACTAGAAACCAGATTTTCCTAAGAAAATTATAGTATTTAATAGTGTTTTTATGTCTGATCAGTAATAAGACCCCGAGATCATAAATAAATATCCCATTTTGTAGAAAGTTTTTAAATTTGTTTTCTTTGGTTTAGTTTTTTTAAAGGTTTTAAGTTAAATTTTTTTTCATAACAGTACCTTTCCAATAATTTAAAAATATATTAATTAGATTGGGTAATAAAAAATTAAAATGATTTTCGATTATCTTTTCGCAAATATTCTTTAATAAGAAATCCTGAATGGCATGTGCGCAATTATTGATAAAACAATAAAACTTTTTGTTCCAACAGATAAATCTGCAAAAGTTATTTTAAAGTAAATCCTAAATTGTTTTTCATTTGAATTCATTTAATCCTCCTTAATCCGGTAAATGGCTGTTTTGTTTGTTTTTCTTCAACCTAAACAAGTTGAATTTATAATACTTACAGAATCCGGTGTTCTGTGATTTCCTGTGTACACTTAAGCAACTTACTACTTTTGAATAAATTATTCTTATGTACCTACGTATAGGAAATTACAGGGATTTATAGGTTAGAGTCTCTGAAGCGTCAAATTTAACACAAGAGATTTTATATTAAACGTTTATGAATTTAAAGTATATTTTGTAAAAAGCATTTTTCAACACCTCTTTTAATTTACAGGGCATGGAAAACTGATTAGTCACCATGGAACATCATTGGAAATTATTCGTAGTGTTAATATTAGTGCATTCTATAAGGTGTATAGAGGAAGATCTTTTAGATCAATATGTAAAACATGTAGAAGCTAGAAATTCTATAGATTATGACCAAATACCGTCTAATATAAATCATAGGCTACACCATAGAAAACCAAGATCATTAAATGATAAACTTAAAACAAAAAGGCATATTTTCCACTCCGATTTAACGCAGTGGACCCACTCGGCTGCCTTGGATGAAAACAATCATGTAATTTTAAGATGGCAACCAAGACATCAGGAAATTTTGTTCAGGGTTGAAGCTAGAACGAGAGGTTATGTTGGTATTGGGTTTAGTCCTGATGGTGGTATGGAAAATGCCGATATGGTGATTGGATGGGTGGATGATAGAAATTCCAGACCATATATTTTAGTAAGTAGAAGTTTAATAATTATTATAAAAATTTGCTGTTAAACGTTACGCCTTATTATTTGGTGAAGAAAGCGTTATGTTCTAGAATGCTTAAGATTGTTAAGAAATGTGATGGTATAGTTTGTTGGCTTATAAAATCTTAGCAATTATTTCCAAACAGTACCATTTCTAAGCTATGTTTGCAAATCTATTAAACAGAAATAATATATTAATAAAGCTAGTTAAAATACACATTTCTTTATAAATACAAAGAAACCAAATTGCATTAGTTAAATAGTACGAATACTATGGTAAAATTATAGATGACGTCTTATCAGTACGAGATAAAGCTAATTTGCAAGATCATATATTTAATTAGAAAGATATTTTAGCGACGTTTTATCTGTTACACAGAATACGAATCGTCTGATAATAAACTAGTCTTATCCTTTGCTATCGGCTCATACTTAGACTGCATCATTTAGGAAAATTAATTTTAGTTAAATCCTATAAATATTAATTAAGTTGCGTTAACCAAAAGTTAAATTAAATGCATGAGAAATACTTTACACATAAAGTCTAATTAATTATCGCATTTAAAAAGTACCCACGGGAATTCATTTGAATTTTATATCCTGTTTACAACTGAAAAAAAAATAATTTTGGATTTTATGTGTTTTAATACTGAAATATAATTGGTACTTCCGTTTTTTAATTGCTAATTTAATTATATAGTTATAAGTTCGTTAAACGTGCACCTAAATGTAACATAATTAAAAAAGTTTTATTATCTTTAAATATTATAGATAATTCTTTTAATTAAATGAAACTTAGATAAAACACATCGTAATCAAATTTCTTAATTATTATACATTATACATGTACATGTACATAATGCGAACCACCTTGAAGGTGTATGATCTTCTGACAACATGCTAAACATTTATTAACAATATTATTTTTAACTAAGTAACAAAAAACCTTACTTGTACGTACTATGTCACACCCAAAAGTCCCACTTGACATTTGAATACAAATAATTGAGGTTATGTATTTCTCAGTTTAACGCTAATTTCGTCTTGTTTTCTGAAAACAATACGATATTTATATTTGTATGTATAGAGGTCTTAGTTTTGAGGTACTATGCTCCACACCCAAAAATCGCACCTTGACATTTTAATACAAATAATTAAGGCCATCTATCTGTCAGTTTATTAGATTGGATAAATAGTTATTTGTATTCACAGATTTTATGAGTATTTGAGTATATGAGTATTTGTATGTCAAGGTGGGACTTTTGAGTAAAGTACAGTACCTCAAGAAAATTATGGATGAAAAAAATTAAACACTTCTGCCACATCGGCAATGCATCGGGATTGACTCGATGAAATAAGTGTGATAATAAATTGAATGAATAAGATGAGAGAAATGAGGTAGAACATAACCTTGTTTTGCGTTTTCAACTGTTTGTTCTAGAGAAATGCTGTGTTTTATATTAGGAAACTATTCCATATTTGGTCACTTTCCTCTAAAATTATATTCTATTCCACTCTACTAAACATAAAATAAAGGATAATTTTTTCATGATCGAGCTTCGTTAGCGAGATACTTCAATTCATTAAAAAACAGTTTAGCTTGACTATATACTGACAGAATAAACAATTAGTTATATTATTATATTAGTTATATTCAAATTATTATCAAGCAAGGGTTAAAGTACACTCACAGGCAAAATAATAGATCGACACAAATTTTCGATGAATTTTAATCGCAAATAACGTTTTTATTTGATGTCGGATTTAAACGAGTTATAAAGAATATTGTAGATAAATTAATGGATAATCGCTCACATTTTAAAAAATTATAAAAAATAGACGTACGTTTATAATGCACAGGTTTAAACAAAAATATGTTTTTTACCATAAGTTTTAGACACTCTGTAGAGAGGCAAAACCGTATATTGTTCTAAATTAAGTTTTAATTATCAGTTTTGTTTGTGGTTTACCTTGATATATTTATTTTTGTGAAAAATATGTTTTTTTTAAACAACATTGCAATTTATAATATTTTTTCTATAGAAGAACTAAGGTTGCTATGCTTTCAAAAGCTTAATGTGTTAATTTTGAGGTGTCTTCTTACTTTTAAAAATGTTTATGTCTCCGACTGATTTTTTTAGTAATTTTTAAAATGTGAGCGATTATCCATTAATTTATCTACAATATTCTTTAATGGTTGTTTAAATCCGAACTCAAATAAAAAAGTTATTTGCGATTGAAATTCATCGAAAATTTGTGTGGATCGATTATTTTGCCTGTGAGTGATCGATTATTCTGCCTGTGAGTGTACTAAATATAAAAATCCAAGTAGGTCCTTCCTCTTTGCAAAAGAAGACCATGACTCATTCAATTATAAATTATAAATATACCAAGCCTGGTTGAATAAAACAAAGAAAACAGCCTTCTTCATTACAATAAATAACTAAATTATATCCCACGCAAATGATTTTTAGACCTAAATTATAACAAAGCAAACTCAATATACAGGATGTCAAAAACCACTAAATAGATTAGATGTTACCTACTTATTGTGTACATATTATATATAAACGTTTTTTTATAACATTTTAGTATCGGTGTTATGCTATTAAATATAGGATCGTGTTTACCTACGCTACTACTTGATTTACTCAGCTTAATCTTGTAGAACATGAAAAGGTAATAATAAAACAATTACCTTATTAAATATGATATGAATGCATTAAAAAGGTAGGTAATTTACATAAAATTGTAAACAACAAATCGTTGTCATAATTATTTTATATCCATTTTTTAAGGTTTGAAATTTAAATGTTCAAAATATTTTGTCCAAAGCTTTTTCTACGAAGTTTATCCCGGTATTAAAAAATTAGCTTCCTTGAAAATCATTTTAAATTAATCGATTTTGGTTAAATCCATATTTTAACTTTACTTTTCGGACACTTCATAAAAACTTATTTAAATTCAAATATAAACTTTTAGAATTGAATGATTGGTTTTAAGGTAAGAAAATCTGAAATCAGAAATCGACTTTTAAAATGTAACAACCATTCCCACAAAAATTGTTCAAATTATTCAAATAGTTTCAAGAGTTTGTATTGAAACGTGCTAAAACTTCTCGATACATAAATCGAAGGGATAAACCATACAAGTGGCGAATTCTGACCCAAAGGGTGTCCACCCCCGTAACTAACACCAATAAAGGGACAGTGGTGGTTATGGTATCTACAGTATGTTATTTAATTAAGAATATGTACCCTTACTTATGTAAGGTATGTAATTTATACCCTTGTATTTCGATAGGAAGACCTAGACAATTTTGCAGAAGGCAAAACTACCTGGACAAAATTATAACATTTAATTAATACTAAAATAGTACATTTTTAAAACATTGGAATAATTGGATAAAAATAAAGATGTTTGGTTTATTATTATGCCTGCATTTACTTGAAAGCGTAGTTCAATAACATTACAACAATAAATTTCACAAATATTTTTTTCTTTAGGTTTTTGAAACGCAAGTTACTGATTTAAACTCATAAATGTGGGGTGCAAACATAAAGCACCATTATTAAATATAATTTACAGGCATTGGGCAAGTAAAAACGATAATTGTTTTTTAGAAAGTATGGCATTACCCGGTGCTGAAAATATGAAGAAAAGAAGGGAAAAGTTAAAGAGGATAGGAATGTATGAGAATTATAAAAATAAATATGTAGAAAAAGTAGAGCAAAAAAGAAATATAAGCAATATTTTACACTTTTACACTTTATTTTAACGATTGTATAACATTTGACAACTGTCATCTGACTTAAAACTAACTTCAGCCCATGACTAAAGCGTCATAAAGCCACAACTTGTCAATGTGTATTTAAAAGATCAGATTAGTGTCATGGAAACATGTACGATAATGGACGTTTTAAAGGTGGGACTAGAAAAAATAATATTAAGGAGTTGCGTTTGGTAATTATTTACAAACTTTTATATTATTAATTTTATAATTAATATATTGTGAAAAGTTTTCATATAACTCAAAATTAATATTTTAATGTACCTATACTTAATTAAAGAAGTAATAAATTGGTAATTTAATTTTTGACACGTTAATATAAAATAATTCATTATATATTATAATATATAAATCCTTAATATTTAGGATACAATAATTTTAACAATCAATACCCAACAGGATCTGGTTTTACAAAAAAAGTAGTGTAGTGCTTGAGTTTTAAGTAATTTGTTATAGCAATTAAAACTTAATTTAAAAATCATTTTTTTCCGTATACCTACTTGTTGTAAAAATGTGTATTTTTTATTTTTCGTGTTAGTGGATTTTTGGATATTTACCAAATCTTTTATTTTTAGATCGACTTTTGTTTTTGAAAACAAATCTAGTTTTATCAAAACTTTTTAAAATCCTTATAATTTATTCAAAAACTATTATTAAATATAATTTTTTGGTACATATAAATTTCTCTTATACAGAGATATTTTTATTATTTACTTTAATTTTTATTGGTATTATTCGAATGGAAATTTTGTTATTTAATTTTTTAACATTTCATTTACCTACCTAATATCTTATTAGTTAAAGACGTCACATTTTTAAATTAAAATAAATTAAAAATTCATCAAACGCTCTTTTCCTAGAACTCGCAACTTAATTTTGTGTCTGTTCACTGAATAAAGTATGACCAAATTTAAGATAACTTAATTTAAACTCAAATAATAGTCGACAGCAGACATTGTAAATTCTATAAAACTTATATTAATGTTTTCGTCACGGGTTTTAAGCTTTGTTAATAATATTGACTCAATATATACAACCATACAGAACACCTATCAAGCCGAAACTCAACAATAATAAAAAACATTGACAAAGCTTCGAAACCCGTGACGAAAATATTAATAAAAGTTTTGGAAATGTGTGGTCGTGAAAACATAACACAGAATGGAATGCAGTGGATTTCACACGGTAAATCAAAC